CTCCTGCTGCTGCGGTTGAGAAAATTTTTTTTTTTTTACCACCACCATTACCATCATCATCATCATCATCGTCACCATCCAGTTATCCTCCTATTTCTCATTTTATTTACCACCACCACTACCACCACCGCGACCCTTTTGTGGAAAAATGTCAAAAGAAAATTTTACACTGTTGAGAAACTCTTAGTATGTCTCTAAAGTGAGGGAGATGACAGATAAGAATTGGACGAACGATAAGAGAGATTGGAGGGAGGAAGGGGGGCACTTCCCCACCTGGTGATGGGTGAGGGTGAGTATGAGGGTTGAAAGATGCAACGTCGTGAGAAGTGATTGATTATCTTTTACCAAACCCTGTCCTCTTTTTTTCTTCTTCTTCTTCCACTTTTTCCACTTCTTCTTCCTTCTCCTCATCATCGTCACCATCATCATCATCATCATCATCTTCTCTTTATTTTTACCCGAGAAAAAATAAAAGAAAATCACCTAAAGCGAAATGAAAAAAAAAAAAAAAAAGAATTTGTTGCGTTTCTAGGAAAACATAATTATGTTTAAATATTTAACTCGTGCTTTAATTATTTTACTTATTAATTAAATTATTTAATAACTTAATTAAACAAAAAAACATAGAAACGAGGTAAAATCGATCGGAAATGATTGATGGCGATAAAGATGTAACTGAAGTTGACATTTTTTACTTTTTTTTTTTTTTTTGGCAAACTTTTTGTCTTTTTCAACTTGAAAACATTTTTATGTTATTTTTACGTGATGATCGATCAACGAGTTTTGTTTTTTTTTTTAAAAAAAAAACTCCTCCATTTACGAACGAAAGATTTATGTTTATATCTTTCAATTATTATTATTATTATTTTTTTAATCGAAATAAATTCTCTGAACCGCGACGACAGGAAAAAAAAACGCGTGCGTTTGAAATAAAATCCAAAATTCGTTACAGGAATAAGTTGCAACCTTTTAAAAAAACCTTTTTTCCATTTCATGCAAATGTTTTAATAACCCTTATTATGAAAATTTATAAAAAGGAAAAAAACAGAAAAGGTTTCAAACGGCGAATGAATAATGATGTTTCAAACGATAATAATAATAATAATAATAATTGTGTCGTATGGTTAATAGTAAAAAGGATTCGACTACTGCATTAATTTTTTTTACTTTTGAAACAAACATGCTTTTCATGTTGTTTTTGCAACCTTTCGTTAGTTTTTTGTTGTTGTTGTTTTTCATGGAAAAAACAAACAAAAGAATCACTGATGCATTGTGTTTGTTAGATAGGTCAAAATCGTTATTACAATGCAAATTTTTTTTTTAAAATGTAGGTCAAAAATCACCAATTTTATTTTTTTTTTTACAAAAACGTGAAAATGATGTTTGTTTGTTTGTTTGTATGAATGAGAATGAAGAAAGAATGATGAATTCTTCTTCTGCTGGGCAGAAAAACACTTACTTACTTTGTGAAATGATGGTTGCTATGAATGTACCAAAAAACGAAGGGAATGACGAGTAAATTGAATTAGTAGGAATGAATTGAATTCCATTTTTGAAATTTATAAAATTCTGGAATGAATGACGTAACATTTATACTGGAACGTAAGAGCGGGAGAACAAAAAACTCACACGTGTTGGAAAAGAAAATGCGGGAAATCAAACGTTAACAACAACAACAACAACGTAATAATTGGAAATGATAATTTTCCATTTTTTTTTTTTTTTTCGAATAGAGAGAGAGAGGGGGGATGGAAAATGAGGAGAAGGGGGAAGGGAGGGGATAGGTTGCATTTAAAAAAAAAGGCAGGCTACAATGGTGAAAACGTTGGGAGTAAAAAGTTATTCACGATCCATGAATGATTTAATAAAATAAAAGTTGATAAAAAGTGATGGACAGCTGGATTGAAGGATCGTGTTCGGTTATAATTAATTGAAAAAATTTTTTTTTTTTTACATATAATAACCTGGAAGATAAGCCCTGGATAAAAAAAAAATTATTAAAAAACGTTTGCTGGAGAATGACGTGACGCGTACGTACTCTAAACCTTCCTCCCCTCCTCTCTCTCTCTCTCTTTATTTACTTTTTTTTTTCTTATTTTCTTTTTCCACCATCCTCGCGTTTTCATTTTCATTCCCCACTTATTCCCCTTCATCTTAAATAAACATCCGCTCCTCCCTCCCTCCTCTAAAAAAAAAAAGAAAATTTAACACACACTTTTCGAATAAATTTTCCTTATTTTTATTTTAAAAAATGTACCGGAAATGACGTATTATTTTAATAATACCATACCTCAAAAAAATGACGTAATATTTCTACTCGAAAAAAATATCTTTTAATCATTATTATTAGTATTATTATCATCATTTTTATAATATCAGTAAAAAAAAAATGGGGCGAAAATCGATTTTTTTTTTTTATAAAACGTCACCGTACTCACGTCACTCATAACCACGTCATTGTTTTTATCAGAAAATTTAAAAATGACGAGAGAGAGAAAATTTTATTTAAAAGAAATTTATCAGATAACTGATAAGAGAGAGAGAGAGAGAGAGAGAGTAAAAGTTTTTCTTCATTAAAAGGAAAAACCAGAAATTAGAAATTTTTTCGGTTGTCGTTTTTGTTTTTTGTTTTTTTTGTTCAAAACAATTTTCGTTTTTATTTTGACGATTTAATTGTGAATTTTTTTTCTTTTTTTTTCTCTCATCCTTCTCGACTATTAAAACGATTAAATATATTATTATTATTATTATTATTATTATTATTTTTTAAATGTTTTGCCCCTACGTGGGCTTGAAAACAAGTTTCCTCACTTACCTAAAGTATATATATATATATGCACACACAAGTCCACAAGCACAAGCACACCAGTAGCTTGGCTCGAATGTCTGCGCATTTAAAATAAATAATAATGATTTTTGAGATATCATTAATCACGAGTAATAACAAACAAAGACAGCGTCGGAGTTCTTTTGAAATAAAAACCTTTTTTTTCTCTCTCTCTCTTTTTTCTTTCTTCTTCTTCAATTTTTTTTCCCTGGGTTAAAATTGCCGCGCAGGAGAGACAAACGTTCGTTTCACTTGGAACAAGAAAAAAAAAATTTTTTTATATATATAAATATATTTTCCCTTTCTTTAAGGGATACGTGCGTGTGTGCGCGTAACGTAGTACGTACGTAAGCATAAACAGCATCGTTATTCTTATTTTCGAGGGTTTTTTTTTTTTTTTGTCGAGGTCCTGTGAAATCTCGAAGGCATTTTAAAAGTGTTTTCAGCTGTCTTCTTCTTCTTCTTCTTATTTTGTTCCTTTCCTACTAAAAATTTGACGTCACACCTTTTCTAAGTGACAGACAGCTTTCGTTTGTTTGTTTGTTTGTTTATGTGTCGTTTGATTAAATATACACGTATATGAAATTTTTAATCGCGGTACGAAGGTTTAATAAATCTTTGAATCGTGGGTCAGTTGTTTGCTGTTTGTTTGTTATCGTGAAATTTTCCCGCGAGAATTTAAACAAAAAAAGAAAACAAACGGCGCGTCTTAAATTAATATGAAATATTTAACGTTAATAGCGTATAAACGCCATTAATACTTAAAAATAAATTTATTAAATGAATTCTTTCTTCACTCCTCGTTGTAATAATAATAATAATAATAATAATAATGAGAGTCTGTCAAAAAATAATTTTCGATATATATATATAGTATTATAAAATGAAATAAACATGAGGGGTTAGTTAGTTTAAAAAAAAAAAAGAGGAAAGAACCTATCAAAAAAATAAAAAAAATGGTTACATGACAGGTTTCTTTGTTCTAATTTGATTCGCTTTTGACTTATGTCAAAGAAATTCCATAATGGCGACCGAACGGAATGAAACCTACATCTCTCTCTCTCTCTTTCTTTCTTTTATTTCTTATTTTGAACCTTCGAAAACGTTTATACAATATACACGCACACACACACACACACACAAGTCGAGGGTATACAAGAAAAAAAAGGTTTCGAAAAAATCTCGTCTTCTCTGATTGGTTCGTTCATCATTATAAAATGTTACGAACGAAGGATTTAACCAGAAACGTAACCTTTCGACAGTTTGTTCCTTTTTCTCATTATTATTATTATTATTATTATTATTATTATTATGAAATCCCCCCCTTTAAACGTCAATCAAAATAAAAAAATTTTTTTTTCTTTTTCTTCTCCATTTTTTTCTAAAAAAAAAATTTATCAAATTTTTTTGTATCGAAAGAAAAAAAAATGTTTAAACAATTAAAATTTAATTTTCTTTTTTTTTTTGAGGGGAAAGGGGAGGGGGGTTGGTATTAATACCACCCGCTAAACGTTTAAATTAACCTCCCCCCTATACGCAAAGGGAGCGAATAGAAGGCGACAATTTATTCTTCATTATTTTCGTCGTTTCTTTTTTCTTTTTAAACCTTAAAAAAAGAAAAAAAATTTCAAATTTTCATCGGTTTTCCATCGCGTTTTCCTAGGAAAATTCTAAAAGTTTTTTTTCTTCACACGTTGCGTAAATCCTTCCTTCCTTCCTTGCGTGCCTGCGTGAGTGCGTGCGATTGAAAATTTCAATTTAAATTTTATTTAAAAATATTTTTATCACTTACATAAGTTAAACAAGTAAACATAAAAAAAATTTTTTTTCCCTTCGTTTATTAGTAAAAAAAACAAAAAATTCGATAAAAAAGTTCTAGAATATTATTATTATTATTATTATATTTATCAGCACAATTTTTAAATTTATATTGCTTCGTAATATACATAAATTACACTTTATTAGTGTCAAATTTTATTTATTAATGTTTTTTCTGCCTTATAATAATAATAATAATAATATTTAATCCGACACTATTACCTGTTTCGTTTAAATACAAATGAATAATATAAAAAATATAATAATACATATATAAATAAAACTTTTTTTGTTTTCCCCCACCCCCCTCTCTCTCTCTCTCTCTCTCTCTCTTCTTTTTTTTAAAATAATGATTTGTATGCCCCACACAAACCTCTCTAGAACCGAATTTGTCGTTTGATATCAAACAAATTCGGATCTACAGGGTAGATGTAAAGCATAAAATGGCGAACGATCAATCCAACATGTTAAAAAACATCTGAAACAAAATAAATTATTATTATTATTATTATTATTATTATTTTTCATAATTTGGCAGAAGTGAATTTAATTTTAATTAAATTTTATTATTATCGTTTTGATGATGCTTTTTTTTTTTTGTAAATGTTGGTTAAACTGATTTGATTTCCGGTGTTTATTAAATCTGTAAGAAGAGAAAAAAATTCGCAAGGGTAAAAGCATGTTTAACTTATGGAATAACAAAACACACAATCGTTTAAAAAAAACAATTTTACATATTATTATTATTATTATTATTATTATTATTATTATTATTAGGTTTTTTG